GTAGGTAGGTAGGTAGGTTGGTAGGGAGGTAGGTAGGTAGGTAGGTAGGTAGGTAGGTAGGGAGGCAGGTAGGTAGGTGGGTGGTAGGCAGGTAGGTAGGTAGGTAGGCAGGCAGGTAGGTGGGTAGGTAGGTAGGTAGGTAGGTAGGTAGGTAGGTAGGTCGGTCGGTCGGTCGGTCGGTAGGCAGGCAGGTAGGTAGGTAGGTAGGTAGGTACATCTGAATATTTTATAGGGTCTTGGCGTTCGGTACTTTCGGGTTTGAGAGGGTCTCAGGGTTTATGTATGCTATCGGGCTGCGGAATTTGATGAGTCTAGCTAGGATATAAAGCGACACTTGTACTGGAAAGGTGGTCCAGGCGTCGACTGCACCCTTCACCCTAAACTTTACCCTAAGCACCAAAAGCTTTTAGGGAGTTCAGTTCCCACTTGTAAGTCCTATCGCAGGTGCATGCGGCGAAATCCCACGACAAGCAGGACACCAGCACCCCCTTAAAGCCTTAAACAGGATAACCGGAAACAACCTCAAAGGAACCCATAAGGGGCCTGGACAGTTTCAACATCCGCTGTTTGCAGTCCTGTTGCGTATACCGGACGACCTCAGTGATGCACCAGGCGTAGTAGAAGAGGGTCCTGGGTAGCTGAAGGGTACGAGTTTAGGGTACAGACCGTAGGGCTTCAAGGTTCCAGGTTTCAGGGTTTAGGCCAAGTTTTGGGTTTGGAGTAGGAGTTGCGCTTTGTAAGGCTTTGGGTGCATGCAAGGATTTGCGAAGACGTTCAACATTCCAAGACCCCTTACTGCAGCCATGGGATCATCCATGGCAGCATCTTCTCCCGAGCAGCACTGCTGGTAGCGCAGGCTACGACCTGAATATGAGATCCAGAGTTTAATGCCGGATTCTCCACAGCCTAAGCCTCCGATCTACTATCCAGGAATCCAGCTGGGTCCTAAAAAGTTCCCCTGTAGGTGCGTACGTGCATGCTTGCATGCATGTACATACATACATACATACATACATACATACATACATACATACATACATACATACATACATACATGAGTCATGCATACGTAACATACCTACATACACCATGCTAAAGAGTGCTTGAGTATGCCGGTCCTTCAGGGCTCCACGCCACTGGTATGAGTTTCGATTTTGACCGTCGTTCAAGCTTTCGTTTGTCAGGATTGTGGCTTCGGGACTTCGGGATCAGGGCTGTTAGGGGATAGGAATGACCTCCAGGATTTAGGTGTCTAGGATGTTCTGGGTCTAAGCTTTCTATAGGCTTGGAGTGCGAGTTGACAAGATAGGGTGTTGAGTATTAGGACATGAACAACCATCTTTCCCTGTACCTGCAACACCATTGCGCCTGGACTAAGCCGACCCGCGATAGTATCTGCATGGCCGTGGTGACGGGATTGGAGGGAACCTGAGCGTGGAGGGCTGTTTTTCAGAGTGAAGGTATGGGACATGCGACTGTTGGGAGTTTAAGGTTTAGGTTCTTTAAACTCCACGGTGTCCGCTTCGGAGGCTTCAGCGTTACAGCTCCGCGGGTTCTGTGACGAAAGCTTGGAGGTAGTTGAGGCAAGTGAGGTTGGGCAAGCTTTTTGGAGTATGGTCGTGGGTTTGGGGGATCTCAAGCTTTGCATAAAGGGGAAAGGTGCGGGTTGGGGTAGGACTATGGATTTGGAGCCCTGGAGCCTTTCTTGCAGGCTTCGGGTCTGTGCATCAAAAACATGCAGGCGTACACAGAAGGACTCGGACTACACCTCAAAACTTTCCTAAGTGGAAACCTCAAGCCTCGAACTGCACCGAGCCCTCAATGAGCTGCCGCCTGAGCCACATCCACTTTCCAAGCGTTTAAACCCCCGAAAGCCTCAACTCCAAAACCACAAGCCCTTAAACCCCCAACAACCGAACAAGTACCCGAAGGACGAGTTGCCATGCCGGTCACTGCGTGCACAACTTCTGCTATCTGGAAGTATGTGAAGCGCGCGATGATCTCCTTGGTTCGGACCAAAGGAGTACAATGTTTTCCTTAGGGCTCCAGCTCCGCAACGAGGTAGGTTAGTAGATCTACCATGTAGCCCAGTAGCCCATTATTCAAGTATCTGAGCTCCCAAGGGTAGGTTTCAGCCACAGATATCGATCTCGGATGAGTTAGGATCCGAGGTAAGGAAAGCTCAGTCTAAACTATGGTAGGGCTCCTTTCTCAACCTGAAGCCTCAGACTGCTAGCTGAAGAATCCTACACCTTCATTCCCTAATCGCTAACCTTACGACTCGATGACCCGTGTGCAAGGACGCAGGTGGGGAGGCCCACTCGCTGAAGTCTTGGATTCTTGGATATCAATCCCTAACTAGGGTTCCAGTTACTTAAGGTAGGTTATAAGATGTAGCCCAGGAACCCATTATTTAGGTGATTGGAGACCGAAGGAGTGGCTGGATCTAAACCCCTCCCAAACCCCCAAACCTCCTCCTAAACCCCCAACCCCTAAACCCTAAACCCCCAAACTTGCTAAACCCCCAAACCCTAAACCCAAAGTGAAGTCTTCCTCACGGTTTGCAGGCTTCTGCTGGCGTGCTGCCGGTCTCCTCCGTTCTGTGATCACAGGATTTAGGGTTAATTTATCAGCGTACCTTAAACTACCAAAACCTACTTTTTTGTAGGGTCCCCAAAGATCCCCCATTTCGGTTTATAATAAGAACCTACAAAAGGTCGGTTATGGTAGCTTAAGGTAGGGTTCAGGGGCTTATAAGGGGAGGGCTTAGGGGTTTAGGGGTTTGGGGTTCAGGGGTTTAGTTGCGGGTTTAGGGATTGGGGTTGAAGGTTTTAGGTTTTAGGGTTTAGGGCTTAGGGCGTGGCTTAGGGCGTGGCTTAGGACGTGGAGCAGGCTGGGATTCTCGGCTAGTGGAAGGACACTAGCAGCTGAAGCAAGTTCTGGCTCCGGCAAGACCAGGTGCCTGACGACGCTCATTCTGAACAGCTTTCCGATAACGTGTGGTAAAATAACGTGCCAACGCTGCAATGAGTTGCTTCTCCGTGGCCGTGCAGCAGAAGCCGTAGTGTGTTGCCAACCATTTGAGCCGATTCGGCTAGAAAGTCCAATCACCCAAAGGCTGTTATTGAAGCACTGCTGAATACAGAGTGGCGAAACCTTGTTCTCTAGATAATGAAGTCCGAAATGCTGTAATTAAGTCCTACAAAACCCTAACCTAACAGCTACAGCCGGGCGCAGGTCCGGGGACCATTCAAGAACGGCAGTTCAAATTCCTCCGATCCCTGTATTACACCCTGAACTATAGGTCCTGAGCCAGCAATGAGAAGTCAGTAAAACGGGGTTTGCCCCAAATGCAGGTCCTCCAACCCAGGTGCCGCTCCGAGCCCGGAATCGAAACCAATCCGTAAACTCCTGAAAACCAAACCTAAACACCGAAACCGAAACCATAATCATAATCCCAAAACCTTCACCCTAAATCCCTTAGCAACATGTTAAATCGAAATCAGAAACCTCTGAACCCTAAACCCGAAATCCCTAAACCCAATCCCTACACTCCGATAATCTATATGCCTAAGCCATACATCCTGACTTTAAAAAACCCTTGCCTCTAAACTCCTGAACCCTGACGAAAAAGGCAAACCTTCTCCAAGCACCGCCGGCATTCCAAACCCTAAACTCCAAAACTCCTAAANNAACCCTAAACCCTAAACATTAAACCAAGCATCGTCGGCATTCTGAGGGCCACCCGGGAGGAGAAGCAGCGCATAGGCCCAGCCTAGGCACTGGAGGACGGAGTAGAGGACCAACCTGGGATTTTATTTTATTTTATTTTATTTTA